CCCCCCCCCAAAAAAAAAATCATGGTCTTCTGGCATGGGAAGATAGACAGGGAGACACATGATTGGGCAGAGACAAGTCTTAGAAGATAGATGGGCAGACACTTGCTATGTTATGGACTGGCCTTACCTCAGGAGACAGACATACAAACACAGAGACAGAGAAAGACACACAGACACACAGATAAGCCTTACCACAGGAGGCAGAAACATGCTCAGTGGGCGACCAGCCTCACTCCAGAAAGGAGACAGACCGAGGCGTGGACAGATGGACAAACAGATACATACACATGCAGCCCACTTACCTCCAAGGAGTCCCCAGGTATGACCAGGGCACAATCGTGCTTCCTTCTAAACGCATTCAGCTCTAAATGGGCCCCTCCCCGACTGGTCACCTTCAGGGGGAAGAGCAGTGCAAATTAAAACCCCCTCTAAATGAGTGGCACAGACGGACAGGATGCTGCTGGAAGAGAAGTCCTATAATAAGGTCCTTTCAAATTTCTCCTTCAGTGCTCCTCAATCTCCAGCATGCTAGGAAGCAGAAAACTCACAGAGCAAAGTGGGATACACAGGCACCACACACAGGAAATTTATAGAAAAGGCACTTGAGCACTTGCAATCACTGTTGCACAGTCGGGGAGGGTTACTGCTGTTACAAGTATATTCCCTTCAAAGAGAGCTAGATTGCCTTGGTGCTGGTGGCTTAGGTCTTTAATCCTAGGTGATTGGGGTTCAAGGTCAACCTGGGCAGAAAAGGGAGACCCCATACTCAGCCCTCAACAGCTAGACTGTCATCACAAACTATGTGGAAAGTGAGCGGTGGCAAGCTGAGAAGACTGGGGTTGCAGGCCAGTAGGGTTCAGAAAAGTCTTCAATTCCATCTCCCAAGAAGAGAGCTGGACAAGACAACCCAGCAACTACAGGAAGCCTAAGTACGTTAAGTACATGCCCTGGCAAAAAGTGAGACCCTATCCTACAAACACAAACAAACAAAAAGCTACAGAGTATCAGGGCCGGGGCATGGCTAACCAGTGAAGTGCCAGCACAGTAAGTGCGAGGTCCTCAGTTCTAACCCTAATACTGCCAGCCAAACAAATAACTGAGAGAGAATGACTAAGACATTTCTTGTGCTTTATGTGAGACAATGATTTACTAAAGTGATAGGCAGGGTAGGTGGATCATTGGTCTCTAGAGTTGTGACCACAGCCCCAGAGCATTCTACTTCGTAAATCAGAATGTCAGGGCCCAAGGAAATTGAGTTTCTCTTACCACATGAGTTAGACAGGGTTTTAGTTACACCCCTTTTATAAAAAGCAATTCAATAGACGTGCTTCTGCCACATGAACATGGCTTCTACTTTATCCACTGGTTTTGTTTGGTTTTGAAGGACAAAGCAGTTCAAGAGAGAATGACTGAGTTGGAATACTAAAAGGTCAGGAGACTGAATGAAATGTTGTGTTAAAATGAAATGATGTCAAAAGCCCAATGGCTGGTTTTTGACATTCTTTCAGTGGAGATTTTATGGGGTATAAAAGAAATGCTATGGGAGCTGAAAGAAGTTAAAATTTTCATGTGGTCCAATTAATTTCAGACTCATCTTTAAATAGGTAGGTTTTATGGTGATAAATTTAATTTGTGGTGCTATAACTCTGAAAGTCATCAAAAATTGATCGGAAGTTTTATCAGAAGCATTAATAATTTAATTGCAAATAGTAGTCTTCAGGGCCTAATTAGTGATTCTGATGGTTTAAAATAAATACATTTACATGGAAATGGTGTTGCAATAACCACTGCTGTAGGTGCAAGTGCTTCCTTCCTGCAGCACAGAAATGTGGCGTCTGCTCACCCATCAGTCAAGACTCAAGGAACTCCAGTCAGAGCTAATACATACAGTAAGCACAGGATTTTAGATCACATCTCTCCCTGTCTCTGCACCAGTTAAGGAAGATGGTTTAATCTGGAATGCCAGTAGATAAAAACCATGCTCTGGTTCTGGCTCTGTTGCATTCATCTTACAGCTAAGACAAAATATATTCTTAAAAAACAGTAGACACACCCATCCCAGCTATTCAGGAGACAGAGATTGGAAGGCTAGTTTAAGAAAAAAAGTTAGCCAACAAGCCAGACATGGTGGTTCAAGTCTATAACTCCAGACTTATGGGAGGCCTATATATGAGGATCTAAGTCTAAGACTTGATCTCAGGCCAAAAGCATGAGACTCTTATCTAATGAAGGGCTATGGTTACACCTCAAGGGGTAGGTAGGGAGCCTGTCTAGCAAGCATGAGGTTCTGAGTTCAGACTCCAGTGTTGCCAAAAAAAACAAGTGCACACACATTTTTATAAATTGAATAGAAAATGTTTACAGCATATCTATTTAACAAGTAGTAATAATAATACTAATACATAAAAGCCAAATAATATTCAATTTGAAGTTTGTTCATGCTATCAAAGAGGCCTATAAAAACCACATTTAATGTAACTGAACCAATTACTGGAACGTACTCTTATACTCTGAGAAAATTTCAGTGCTACTTTTAAAAACAGTATTTACTAGTTAACAAATAGCTGTATATACATCGTATCAACTATACCTATGGTTGTATATAGAAAAATCACACATTTTAATTTAAGATGAAACACTTGGAAGTCCAAGTGATTTAGAAACATACTTACTGGTCTGAAAACATGAATGTCCTGTGTTCTTGACACCAGATGTGAACTTTTGGCAATGCAAGTAGCTGTCTCCAGTTTATCTCCTGTTAGCATCCATATCTATGAGAGGATTTAAACGATGAACTTTAGCACTACAACTGCACTATTCTTCAGTGTAAAAGAGTCTGCCTGTGAACAGACACTCGCATACCCGTGTTCACACAGACACACGGATAAACCAAGTGCTGTCCATCCATAAATGGCAAACCTCGAATCATTCTTAAGAAAGGAGGAGATCGGGCTGGGAAGGTGGCTCAGTGGTAGAGCGCTTGCCTTGCATGCCTGAGGCCCTGGGTTTGATTCCTCAGCACCACATAAGCAAAAAGAAAAAAGCTGGAAGTGGCGCTGTGGCTCAAGTGGTAGAGCGCTAGCCTTGAGCTGAAGAGCTGAGGGACAGCGCCCAGGCCCAGAGTTCAGGCCCCACAACCGGACCCCAAAACAAACAAACAAACAAAAAAAGGAGGAGATCCTGATACATGGAGGGCAGGGATGGATGTTGAAGACCACGAAGGCCAGTGAGACCACCCAGACACAGAAAGACCACCTAACTCTACTTAACTGAGGTACCCAGGAAAGCCAAGACTGTAAGGACAGAAAGTGGGAGGTGGGCACCCAGGAGGAACATGGAAGTAGATGCTCCACAGGGCCAGTTTTGGTTTGCAAAACTGGACAGTTCTGGGGATGGGTGGCAGTGATGGCTGCAGACCAGTGAGTGTGTCCTGAACGGGACAAAATAGTAAGTTTTGCTTTGCATTTCATACTGCAATAAAGAGTGTCCATACTGATTTATCTGGGGAAAACAGACAAGAACAGTGGGACATGTGGACACAGCCACTTAGAGCTGGGCTCACAGCTCACAGCAAGGCCCAGGCAGCGGCTGGGCAACGTCTGACATCAATCTCTGCAGATGCCAAAAGGCACTGTGTACTCAGCCCTCCGTCCAAATCACAGGTTTTGGAAGGCAGAGCATGGAGCAGGGAGAATCAGAAGCCTGTTTTACCTTGGTAGAGTTACAGGTAGAAAATGGAGTTCCAGTGTGTCAATGGCCTACAGTTAAGCCAAAGTTATTGATAATGAATAGGTCAAATAATGTTATTTTTACACTAAAAAACTGAATATATCATAGCTAAGATATTAAATCAACCTAGATGCCCCTCAGTAGAAAAATGGATCAAGAAAATGTGGTGTATATACACAATGGAATTCTAGGCTCCCATCAGAAAGAATGACATCGCCCAATTCATAAGGAAATGGAAAGACTTGGAAAAAAATCATATTAAGTAAACCAGACCCAAAGAAACATAGATCCTAAGGTTTCCCTCATTTGTAATAATTACTATGTACCCAGGATAGTCCAAGCAGATGAGCAGAACAGCTCAACAGCTACGTACATATGACCATATAAGATGATGCTAAGCGAAATGAACTCCAAGACATGGAAAGAAGAGGTTTTTTTCTTTTCTTTTTTTTTTGTCGGTCGTGGGGCTTGAACTCTATCACTTGAGTCACAGTACCACTTCCGGTTTTCTTGTGGTTTATTGGAGATAAGAGTCTCATGGACTTTCCTGCCAGGGCTTGCTTTGAACTGTGATCCTCACATCTGAGACTTTTCTGCCCATGCTGGCTTCAAATGGTAGATCCCAGCCCCTTGATTAGTTAGGATTACAGATCCAAGCCTATACTAAAGCTCAATTGTAAAATTAAATAAGCCTGGCTTATTCTTTTTTTTTTT